TGGCGCGGAGCGAGGGCGGAGCTTCTATTGTGCCGGGGCCGCGGCGGTGCAGCCAGTGACGGCGCGGGGGAGGAGGAGGACCAGGAGCTCTGGACTCGGGCTAGGGGTGCCGGCCCACCCCGCCCCTGCTCAGGCTCGGCCTCCGCGCACGTCCCCGACGCCAGCCTGCAGGGACGCTGCTGTCCTTTCCTCTGAAGGCAGTGATGGGGACAGAAAAGTCACACTGGCACCGGTCCCTGTAGTGTGGAGGTCCCTTGTGTCCACTGCCGCCGCGAGGAGCGAGTTTTCTCTGGGTTGGGAGGCAGCTGCTCCAAGCGCGAGTCAACGCACAGCCTGGCGGTGTCCCCCCGGTACGCTGGGCAGGAGAAAGACACCTTGGTTCTTTTTGGGGTTCCCTTTCCCCGGACCCGACTCGGCGCGATCCATGGCCGCTTTGAACTTAGCGCCACTGGAAGTTTGCTTGCCCACCACAGCTTTAGAAGCTGGTAATACCTCCACCCAGAGGATAACTACTGAACTCCCTGCTGGAGTGTGGCCTGACCCGGGTCCATAGTGAAAAGCACTGTGACAAGACACAATGCCGGGGGGAAATGCTATGCCTGAGGACACAGCGATTGCGAAGGGAACCACCTCTTCCTATCTTTGGGTCCCAGGTGATCTCCCAGGGCGTCTGCTAGCAACAGTGCAAGGATGTTACAGTGCCTCCTAATTAGCGTCCCTTCGATAAATCCATTATGAAGATTTACAGTGTGTGAATTTAAGAAAACGTTGTGCCTTCCAAGACAACTGTCACCCTTAGCATACTGAACAGAGCCAGATCACATCAAAGATGTGAAAGGTACTTCACGTCCTTGAGCAATCCAAGCACCTTGGCCCTTATGCTAGGGAATAAGGGTTGTAATAACCTAAATGATGAACATATATGTGATGACAGTTAATAGTAATAATTACTTATTATTATTATTATTCGTCTTTTTGAGACAGGGTCTCTACCCAGTTCAGGCTGGCTTGAGCTCACTTTGTAGCCCAGGCTGGTCTCAAACTTGCAACTATCCTCCTACCTCAGCCTCCTGAGCACTGGGATTACAGGTGTGCACCACCACACCCGGCTTATTATTTATTATTAATATTATTATTATTATTATTATTATATATGTGATGCTGGGTAGCAAACCTAGAACGTCACGCATGCTAGTCAAGTGTTCTACCACTAATCTACATCCCAACCCAAATAATAACCATTATTAATACACTTTAGTGGGTTTTTTTAAAAACTCAATTTATAGCAAAGAATCCCAAGTTCTGGGTGTATGGCTTTGTTAAATGTCCCCCATACATCACCCCCTTCAATGTAAACTATCCTATCTTTTCTGCAGCTGGATGGGGTAAACACTTCTAAGATGCAGTTTTATAATTTAGTTAAAATAAATGTGGAGGCAGGAATCCCAGCTTCTTCAGAAGCTGAGGCAGGAGGACCACAAGCTGGAATTTTGAATGTTGACTAAGTGCAGGGCAACAAACTAGGTTACTAGACACATACCGTGAGGATAAGATCCCCTGCGTCTTACAGAGCGAGTGCAGCGGGTAGGGAGTGAGGAGGAACCTCACTGAAACAAATGCTCAGACTCTAAGGTAGAATCCAGTGGGGCTTCAGAAAGAAAAAATAGGTCACTTCCAGTTGAAAGGTCAGTAAAAGTTCTTGGAAGAGTGATTCTGAAAAGGACTGAAACTGAGGAGATTTCAGTAAGATGGTAGATAAGTCAACCAAATATAAGGAAGAGGCAGAGGCCCTCTGGGCAGAAACAGCAGCCTGACTTTGCATATTCAGATCTCATACTGTACTCACTTCTCGTGAGATTTCACTTCCGCAGCAGCTTCTTATATGCTCCAATAGTAACAGGGACCTCATCTTCACACATCGCGGGAATTCATTGTTTGTACTCCTTCTTAGGTTGTTTCTCTGGCCCCTGTCTTCCCACTAGACTGTAAACTCCACGAGGGCAGGGATTTGCCTGGTTTTGTTCACCTTCCATCCTAGTTTCACCAGTGCCTGGAACAGAGTGGACACTAAGTGGTTCAGCAGATGGGAACTGCAAATAGTGCATTTGGACATATTCCCAGTCGCCTTCGCAAACAGTGTTGTAGCCATTAAGGTGCATTTGCCTTTAGGGATCAGAGACTCTTGACAGCAACAGCTTAATCAAACACATATTTATTTTTCTACCCCCCTTATAAGACTGAAAGTTGGCTCTTGTTCAGCTCTGTAATGTCATCAAGAACCAAACTCTTCCTATTTTCCACTCCATTATGCTTAGGGTTTTGGCTTTTTTGACTGAATTAAAATTGATTAAAGCTTGTCTGAGCTACCCTATTGCCAGACATTCAATTTTCCAGTTTCCCTTATAGCTATGGGGAGCCATTGGATTCTGTTCTGGCCAATAGAATAAAATACATCTGCAGGTAGTTTCTGGAAAAGTCATTTTTCTCCCTCATAAAAGAAGCAGGGGATTACAGCTTTCTGATGTGACCTGTCTCTCACGTCTTGTCTTTAATTATGGATCATGGTACCTGGAGTTGTAGCAGCCATCTTATGACCACGAGTCCCCTCTACAAACAGAACTAAATTTTAATCTTTTAAAACCCATTTTTTTCTTTGAGACAGTGTCTTGTTATGTATTTCAGCCTGGCTTTGAACTCACTGTCATCCAGGCTGGCCTTGAACTCGTGGGGATCCTCCTGTCTCAGCCTCCAGAATACTGGGATTCAGATGTGCACCACCATGCCCCGTTTACAAGACCACTTTTGAAGTCTCGTATTTTAGTGTTCAGTCCTATGGTCCTACACAGAATTTATCTGAACCTCCGCCATAAGAGAGCTTTTCTTTCACTTAAAGATAGAAAGGAAGTGGCTTCTACATCCCCTATTCTTAAACTAACCATATCTACTTTATCCATCTTCTGTCTCCATTTTATTCACTTGTTTCTCAGACCATGTGACCTTCCAGACCTTCCATTTTTCTGGTTATTTTCTCTCCAGAAAGCCTCCAGTTTGAATAAGTGTTAGAGTACATTGAAACCGTTCCTTCTCTTTTTCTGGGCACTGCTCTTTTATTACTGCAGCCCAAGATTGCCTGAGCTCTTTTGGCAGCCACCTTGCACCAGTGATTCACACTGATTTATTTTTTTAAATGTAGCTTTCTTTTTTATATGTATAAATGTGATGCTGGTTTCCTCTAGCCTGTGCTTTCCAGCTGTGTTCTTTATTTAACACAAGCACAGATTTTTACATTTTTACCTACTGAATAGCACAGTGATTTCATCCTGCTGAAATCTTGTTTCCCCCACCCCAGTTAATTTCCAACTTCAATAAGCATAGTTCCTGTCTTAACTCAATCACTAATTTACAAAATTAATTCAGATAGGGCCAGATTCCACAGCCCTTCACCCACTGTAGGAAAAGTCCTAGTTCTTTTTTTCCAGTGCTAAAGACTGAACCCAGAGCGTCATGCTTGCCGAGATGCCACTGAGCTACACCCCAGCCCCTTCCAAGGTGTCAGGCAGTCGGCTCAGATCACAGGTCTTCTTCATCATGTCTGCAAGTGTTTCTTGGCAAGCTGTTGCCACTTACCTTTCCAAACCCAAGATGTACTGCCCTGGCATTCCTTCCACTTGGCAGCCTGATAACCTGATCTGAAGATCCTGAGTTGGACTTGATTTGGCTTTAAAATATGAAAGTTAACATACTGTAAATTCCCTGCATCCTTTGCTAAGAGCCTATAGATAGGACCCTGCACTTGATCCTCAGCACATTAGTGTGAAATAAGCACCTGAGTAACACATGAAGTCACTGTGGCACCAAGACAATGCCATGTATGTTGGGCTCTCTGCACTGGTGCTAACTTGGACCAGGCATCACGTGATGCGCAAAACCCCACCTAGGTGGTATCATTTCCTCTTATAAACGAGGAAATGGTTTCAGAGAGGGATACACATGCACATTTCCATTTTTAAAAAAATTACTACAGGAAAAGATACATTGGCATCAGTTCTCCTCGACACACCTCCCCCCGACTTTAAACACACTGTACCATCGTGCCTGGCACTCTCTGCAGCAGTTCTGGAAGGCCTCTTTGTGTCTTTATGAAGTGTAACCAGAAGTACAGTGAATGCTGCTGCTGTGTGTCATCAGGTGGAAAGGCAGGCCTGAGAACATCATGGTGCGTCCTCATCCACCTTATTCACCGGATCTGGCACCATGTGACTTCTGACTCGTCCCCAAAGTCAAAATGACCATGCAAGGTAAACGTTTTGAATCAGTTCAGGACATTGAGGCAGCCATGATAGTGCAACTGAAGACTCACCACATAGAGGACTTCCAGATCTGCTTCAGAGGCAATAAGGATGGGATAAGTGCATTGAAGCCCATCAATTTTGAGGAGTATTTTGAGGCAGATCAAGGGTACTGTGCCTTTTACTGTAACAGGCTGTTTAGTATTTAAACATTCACTGTAGTTTTCAATTACTCTTAAGATCAGACTCTCTGAAAGCCACAAGTGTGCCACTTTGGCTACCTGCGCCCCGGGACCCTCACCCGTTCTGATCAGCTAGCAGGTTGCGGAAGGCTGGGGTTCCCCCAGCTACCGCATCCACCATCCCCCACCAGTCAAGTTTGCTTCTGGCGAGAGCATCGGTTTTCCAGTATACCCAGGAGCCTCCTGGCTTTGCTCTGAAATGTCTATCACCATCCAAGGCTTCGTTTGCAAGGTGGCGCAGGGGTGGGTAGAAACAACCTGCCACCTCAGTATGTAATTTAGAAAATGCACCTGCCAAAAGCAGCGGAATCAAAGAGCATGGCAAATTCCCCTGAGCAATATCATTCTGCCATCTCCTCTCCTCCCTGGCTGGCTGGAGCCGTGCCAAGTTGCTGCCATAAAGCGCTGGGAAGGGGTGATGGGTGCCTAGCTGAAAATGAGGTCTTTCTTCCCCTGTTCACCCTGCTTTGCTGCTATTTCATCTTCTTATTGTGCTTTTGATCTTTCACATTCTCTCTCTCTTTTAATTCAGTTTAACCCAGAGCACATATGACAAGCCAGGTGCTCTCCCTCCTGCCCAG